AAAAACAAAAGTTGTGTCGTGGTTTTCTTTAGTTATCGGACAAAACGCGAGTCGCCAGCTGGCGACCAGTTCTGAAAATTTAGTCGCCAGTGCTCAATGTTTGGTCGCATTGGCGACCAGTGAGTCGCAATTTCGAGCCCTGCCACTAGTGCTGAAAGAAGATTTACGTAGTTCATACCATATTGTGAGTCCATTGTGTGATGTCACCTCAGTGTTGATTATATTATGTCATGAATAATCAGTTGTGTTTTCCTTCAGTTATTCAACACTTGTATCGAGAACAGCGAAAAGACAGATGACTTGGACAAGAGGCTTCAAATACTTCTCACTAACTGTACCAACTCTGTTTACACGAACGTAGCTCGGTAAGTGCTTTGTTGTTGTTGTTGTTGTTCGTTACACAAAACACAAGATTAGAAGAAAGCACGTCACCAAAAACGATCAGATAAGCGGTCTACTTTTGTTTTCTTGCGACATTACTTACCTGGTTACTCTGCGGTTACGCGCACATACCGCCATTCTTCTTCTAGCTAGGACGTTAGTAGATTGGTCGTCGACCTGTGTGGTAAGTTGGCGCCTCGTATGCAGTTATGGTCATGACGCTCCTGGTATGGTCTCCATTCTGGTAACTAAGGTCGCTTGTAAGTTAAAAGCGTGTTTACTGGTTTTACTTATTTCAGAGGCCTATTTGAAAAGGACAAGCTGGTGTTCTCGTTCATGCTGTGTGGTGAGATCATGCGTCAAAGAGACGAAATCTCAGACGCGGAATGGAACTTTTTCCTGAGAGGAAGTGGAAGCTTGGACAAGGTGAGACACACTGGTAAAAGACACATGGCACACGTGGCAGGGACACACGCCCAGTACAGACGCACGAAGGATAAACTTGATAGAGATAAACATGCTCGGTCGGATCACTCACGATAGACACGCATAAGAAACATGCAAAAAGGATACACATGACTAGAATAACTGCTTAGCGGATAAGCGTGAGGGGAACATGCAAATACGTACAACACTGCTTTCGCACGATGGGTATTAAGAAGGATGTTAACAAAATTAAAGTACTACTGTTACGTTCATAACAGGAACGCCCACCGAAGCCAGACATTCCTTGGCTAGCAGAACACACCTGGAATACTTGTTGCGACTTGGAGGTACGTTTATAGTTTCATTTTGGGCGCTTCAAGACATATTAAGAGTACAAGAAACCAAACGATAAAGGGTAAAATTTTGAAGATAAATGTTTGAAACCAGTAACAAGGGCGTGGACGATCTGAGCTTCAAACGTGCACCTGGCGTTTTCAACTTTCTCTCAGACTTGTTTTAAAAGTTTGCCAAAATAGTATTGCAATTTAGACGTAACAAAATGAATTACCTTCTCTGTTTCGTTTCATCGGGCAGTGGACCCGTTGGTTGTTCTACACAACAAGGTCAGGTTTGCCTCTTGCATCATCGTCAGGCCTGTCCTAAACGGTGGCATTTCTCCGCAGGTGGTGGCCATCTGTTCCGTATTCGAACTCTGTTTTATAATACCTGTTGCTGTGTTTAGTTTTGACATTATTCTTTTGTTTGGAATTTTTAGGATTCCCTCCCAGCTTTTAGTGACTTAAAGCAGGAAATAGTCAGCAAACCTGTTGTTGTGAAGATTGGATCAGTTGAGGTACGGATTACGTGTAATAATGGACTCTGGAGTTGACGCTAAGTTTTACCTCTGATACTTCATGATACTTGCGTCAAAAAAACGGTTATCACCAGGAACATTACACCTAAACAACCAAATCGTTTGCTTCTCCTGTGCTGAAAAAAAAAATTGGAGGAAAATCAATGACACGACTTTGATATAAGCTGTAAAACTGCAGTGGCTAGAGTATTAAACGTCGAGGTCAATTCTCTTTTTCGTTCTAGGCGTGTCCAAACGCCCCATTACTATCGGGGGATAAAGAGGACAATGATGGTAGATCTACAACAACAAGTGAAAGCACAGAGGCGACTGATGAAGGCCAAGAACATTCCGGTTTATCCGATCGCCTCACGAGTTTCCAGAAGCTAGTGTTTGTGAAAGCGTTCAGGGAGGAGAAGGTAATGTTTGCTATTTTGTTGCGTGGTTTTACAAGTTAGCTATCTCTTCTGAGCTTCTTTTTGGAGGCAGTGTCGCACCGTTGTCGCTGCCATGTACGATTCAAACTTGTTGGCCAATAAAAAAGACAGTAGTAACTGTACAGGCGATTTATTGACGTTAGTTCTACTTTTGTGACTTCTCGACAGATATGGTTAACCTGAAATTTAAGGGGTTAACGCCTAACCAAAAATGTAATCTAGGAAAAAGCTATGAAGGGATTCACTCTGCAAACTTCTTTGTTTCATTGCGTTTAATTGCTCCACAGGTTGTTTTTGCTGCCGTTGATTTCGTGTGTGAGAACCTCGGCAAGACATTCGTGGAAAGCCCATCCGTAGACCTAAACATCCTGTATGCAGATGTGGGCCCCACCACACCTCTCATATTCATCCTCTCTACTGGTTCTGATCCTATGAATGCCTTCCTCAGGTTCGCCAGGGAAATGAGCTACACCGAAAGGTAAACATGTTACCTTAGTCACGCATCATGTTATTCGCTGTCTTCACTAGTGACTTAAGAGTGAATGCCTATAAAAATGGACCTAAATCGCCTATCAATGGCACAAGTCGAAAAATTGATTTCGCTTGTATTTCGTCCCTAGATAGGTCCTATTAAGAATAGAAACGGACCATAGTTAGTTTCTACTAATACAGCTTTCTTTGGTAGAAATATGCCAAAAACGATTTCGACCCGATTGGGCTCAAAATCTACTTCCGGTTTTGCTGAATTTTCCGAATATTTGATTGCTTCGCACTCCGCAGAACAGCTACTTGAGAATCTTTCAATGGATTTNAGGAAACGCGAGAAAATTCATTGTCAGTTTTGCTTTTTGTGCTCATGTTGACATCATTAAATATCAAAAAACACTGACGTTTTCCTTTGAGCGCGCACAGATTACTTAAACACTACCAAGTACACGACTAAAATGAAAGCAAAATTTTCCTACTGTGACCAAATCAAGTTTAATGAACCTGTACTTAAACCATGAACACCAGAATAGCAGCATATCGCTAACCACGAACTGCTTTCAGCTGAAAAACTAGTTGTTATCTGTCGAAAATTGTACTGAAATCCAGCTGTAAAAATGAACCTACAGAGGGCGTAGTACGCGCGCAAAACAAGGGCAGATACGCAAATGTTTTACTTACTGGGGAAGTAACAGGAAAAAATGTAACGGGCACCGTAAAAGTTTTCAAAAAAAGATCGATAACTTCAAAAAACGCGTGGTTACCCCTACATTTTATGTTATGACATGGAAGTGGCAAGCCTATTCAACGCGTGATTATTTTCTGGTTGAGAGCAAAAGGTCTTTAGACCGTATTTTGGCTGAACCAGAGGAAGGCTGTCAGTGACGCTGAAAGCGCTGTTGCAACGATTTGGTATTAAAAACATACCAAAAATGGTTTTTATGTTACCATTTACCATGTGGTTTTAAGATCTTTATAAACGTGGTTGCTTTTCTGTATGTAAAGGCGAATTGTGAGGAAATCTGTGAAGAAATATCCTTTCCTTCTTTTTCAGAAAATTGTTGACATCAGCATTTTTGTTGCGATTCAAGGCTAATTATCTCGAAAAAAAAATGCGTGGCTACCCCAATTTTTCTTTGTGGATTCCAATAGCCCTTGCAAAGATCTACGTTTTCGCGTGGTCTTAACCTGGCGCAAAAACCTTTGTATTTAGCCGGCACCGTCCTCAAAGAGTTCGAAATGGTAAGGAATAAGCATCAAGAAGACTCGACCGATGGTTAAGACGGAGATAATGACTTAGAGGTAACGATATCGTCTTTCGGCTTGCAAGAAGATATGAATCAAAGGTCTTCCTGAAATACACTTAAACCAAAACCGCGCTACTGAACACTGTGGTCAGGTTTAAAATGGACTTTCTCGTCTACGGTATCGAGATATCGGAAGTTCAACCGAAGGTATCGCTTATTAAATTAGCGTTTTCTTCTAGAGGAATTCATTCATCCTCATCGGGCCCATGAGGACTCTAGAGGCCGGTACTAGAGGAATTGTTTTGGTGTTACTTAAATAAACTTGTCAGCTGACTTTTGCGTTCTTGATAGAGGCACAACAACACGCATTCGGAGAACACAAATATACTTTGGGAGAACGCTTATATCCAAGTCACAATTTTTATGAACACGATCTTGATGGCGATCACCTATTTATAATTAAGTGAAGCTTGCTGACTTCGCACTTTCCGTTCGGAACCGCTTGTCTTGATAAGTAAAGACAGCTTAGATATATTGATTCAACTGAGGCCTTGAGCTATTATATTTTTATTCCAGGCTTTCACCGTTCTACGGCATCATCAGAGAATGAAAGAAAATATTCAACAGTGTGTGATATAAAAGTGGTGTAGGTGACGCGAATGATTAGAATATATATTAAGGACAATGAGCGTAAATATGGTGATGGAATATATGATAATATGGACAATCGCTAATGAGTATAAGTGATAAAGCAGTTCAAAGTAAAGAAGTTCAAGACAAAATAAAATAAAAGTTCTCTGAGTTCTTCAAACGTTTACTAAAGGAAAATTATTTACAGATCAAAAGAGGATCTAATTTCAAATATCAGGTAAAATAGCATGACAATTAAAACTCAAAGAGTTGCTTAAAAATGCTGGAAAAGGTTGCGAGCCACCTTAAAAAGTGAAAGCTGACATCTTACGTTAAATATTCTCTATTTAGAATCCAAGCAATCTCGTTAGGTCAAGGTCAAGGGCCTGTTGCCGAGAAAATGATAGCTAATGCTACTAAGACGGGAGACTGGGTCTTCCTTCAGGTAAGAATTTAGATCAGAATTTGTCACTCGTTCAGAATCGGGCTAACGAACAAACATGGAAACGAGCTGTAGTGCGCAACAGAAGCTAATCAAGATCTACCCATCGCTTTTCGTTCTTTTCTTTTGCTTCAAGGTCTGATTGGTTTATTTTATCGTCATGATTGGCCGTGATGTCTTATTGACTTGCGTGGTTCATTTTCTAGAATTGCCATCTTGCTGCTTCCTGGATGTTGGCAATGGAAACCCTTATAAAGAACCTGTCGTCGCCCGAAGCGGAAGTACATGAAGACTTCCGGCTGTTTCTGAGCTCCATGCCCAGCAAGTCTTTCCCAGTAACAGTGTTACAGAACAGTGTTAAAGTGACGAATGAGCCGCCGAAGGGACTCAGAGCTAATGCTAAGAGAGCATTTGGAGAACTCAGCTCAGATACCTTTGAAAACCACAGTAAGATTCAGTCTCTTCGTAGCCTTCACTTGGCTCTACAGACAATGCTTTCCTCCTCAGCTATCAACTCTTGAAAAGGAATTGTGGGATTTACTGACAGAAGTAAATCAAGTACATGACTTCACGTGTGCTTTGCCTTTATAGTACCCCTTCATGTATCTCACACAGTTAGAGTGTGTTTACATTTGAGAGCTCGTATCGATGACTACATGATTTCATAGCGCGCTTGCATTGGGGTCACCTATGGTAGGTGGCTCACGTGACGCCATCTTGGGTTGGTTGACGAAAACTAGGCAAGCGCTAACCGTTCTAGACTGCCTGGAAAGTGATTTCATGCCCCAACGGGTGGTCGTTCATGGTTTACATAAACTGGTGCGAGTTTCATACCAAACCGAAAATTTCGACCCGATAGAGCAACCGTATTACACTTGGTCAGGTTAATATCGTGTGAACGAATATAGAGTCAAACGAGCAAACCGGAATCTGTTATCTTGAACCTTGTTGTTTTCCAAAGACATGAGCGCGCAGGCCAAAACGCGCCAGACTCTACACAGTATGTTCCTGGTGAACGTCTAGTCTGTTTCAGGCTCTCAAATGTTAAGGGTAAGCTCAAAGTATAGGCAATGAAAAAAAGAAACGTGAATGGTGACTCTTCCCAAGCGTCCGTCTTTCCATACTTGGGTTTTTTGCTCTTTGTTTGTGTATGTGTTTTCCCCTTTGTTCTCGATATTTTTGTTGTTTTTTTTTTTAGTTTCGTGTGCTGGAGCAGTTTAATTTAACGTGATGCATGATCCTATTTGATTGATATATTTGTATGTGCTCCTTAGTTCTTGGTGTTACGTGGCGGAAGCTTGTGTTTGGAATTTGTTTCTTCCACGCCATTATTCAGGAGAGAAAGAAGTTTGGTCCCCTTGGTTGGAACATCAAGGTGATTGCTGACAGTTTCGTACCTTATACAATAACGTCACACGAATGAGAAAAAGATCACTCTTTCCAACTCCTCTTTTTTCTATTTTTCTGAGCCAGTGTTCTATAATGCTTGACTGCTTTTTGATCTCATCTTTTCCTCCTTAGTACGAGTTCAATGACTCTGATCGTGAAAGTGCACTTGACAATCTAAAGATGTTCTTAGCAGAAGGACAGATTCCATGGGACGCGCTCACGTTCATCACAGGGGAGGTAACGTTAAACACCGAAAACGATCAAATATTTCAGTTACAATTTAACAAACGGCAATGTCTTACTCACAACCTAGTGACCCATATTCGTGATTCCCAAAGATTAGACCCTGATCCATCGCAGATCGCGTTACCGCCGTGTTATTCTATGATAGCTATTTTATACTCCTAGTTGAGAAAGTCACTGAGAGTGAACTAACGCGTTTTAGGCCGCCTAATAAGGACAGTGTCCAGGCTTGAACTCTAGATCTCTTCTCTGACGCGCTAAATACTGTTTTTCACAGATCACATATGGAGGTCGAGTTACCGATGCTTGGGATCAGCGATGTTTAACTACAATCCTCGGCAGATTCTTTTCACCAACAATTCTGGACGATGGTTACAAGTTTTCACAATCAGGTAAAGCTAATAATTATATAAACAATTAACTAAAGATTCATTTTAACATAACGACTTCTTCATCTTGCAATGTTATGGTGGTTATAATGCTGTAATACTGGCAATAGGGCTTAAAGAGATTTCATTTTCCAACAAGTTTTTGCAACATTATAGTCATTAGAGCCACTATGAAAATGTAAATCTCAAATGTTTTCATATCGTGATTATTAACATCGTTGTAAAAATAGTTCTCTGCATAATCAAACCAGTTCAATCAATCAATCAATCAATATACTTAACGTGGTCGGTACGCTTAGCTGAAAAGCTAGTTTACAGGTACGCCACGAAAAAAAAAAAACAAAAGAAAAAAAAAACAAAAACAGAAAAAAGAAATTATAAGAACCTTTTGAAGGTATATAAATTTAAATAAATTAAGATTAAGAACTAGCTAATATTAAATATAAGAAGTAACAATGTAGTCACAAGTAAAATATACAAGAAAATATGAACATTAAAAGCTGTAAAAATTGATTAAGGATAGATCCACTTCGCACTCAGAGTCCCGTGAGATCTAATGTTTTTAAGTTGTTTTTAAAAGTAGTGTCCGTTTGTATCTTTCGAGATTCGTCCGGTATGGCGCTCTACAATTTCGATGCAGCGTATCTCCATGATCTTAAGCCGAAAGATGTTGATTGTACTTTTGGAAGGTCCAGTATTGTGGTGTTCCTAAGGTTATAAGTGGAGCACCTTACTGTCATAAGATCACGTAAACTTGCTGTTCCTGCATAGCTGGCCAGTATCTTGAAAACAGTGGACAATATTTTCGCTAATCGCTGTTCACGAAGACTTGAGAGACCGATACGCTGACAAAGTTCCTCATAAGGCGAGGACTTATCTCTAAAAACAAAACGGAGCGCTCGTTTGTTCACCATCTCTAACTTGTCAGCTGACTTCTTATTACAGAAGTGCCACGTTTCGAAGCAGTAATTAAAGTGTGGTAGAATAAAACCTTGGAAAGATCCCTTCTAGTCTCAAAAGGCAACAGTTTCTGCATCCTTTTTAATACAGCGATAACCACCACTTTTCTCCAGGACCAAATGAAAAGTTAGTGTAGACGAGGGAGGGGTCTCTCTAGACTGATGAAAAGTTTGTAATGATCTTACGAAACGATGACAGTCCCCCTGTAACAGTTCTTGTATGATATTACTAGGTATCTACTTTCCTCCTGGATTTGACTCGTTACCTGAATACAGAGACTACATTGACAGTTTGCCCATTGCTGACGAGCCAGAGGTTTTTGGGATGCACAACAATGCAAACATCGCTTTTCAGGTAACAAATATTAATTACTAACAAAAATAATTCATCACATTCTACCCACAAATTCGACACTTCTTAGAGATTGAATCAAGGAACATGATAAATGTCACCTCTGTGGAGAAAGACAAACGTTAACCCATCTTTTTGTTACCTGTTCTGAAGCTCGGCATTTTTGGTCTCTCTTTACTAATTGGTGGAGCTCCAAAAATGGAGATAGGATCACTCTCGATGAAAATAATAATAATAATAATAATATATGGCGTGACAGATAACTTCGCTCGTCATCTTGGCTTAAACGTCTGCATGATTATAGCCAAATATTATTTATATACTACCTCAAGAAAAGAAGAAGAGTTTTATTTCGATGCTTTCTTCGCGATTTTGACAAACAAAATTAAAATTGAGGAACAAAAATCTAAATCACAAATTAATATGTGAGAAAGCCTCCTATTGTAGCTAACCCCCAACATGAAAGATATTAACAAATTGTAATGTAAGATATTATTATAACGTAAGACATTAACAAATTGTAAATAATGTTAGTATTG